TCGTTAATAACTTTTTAACGAATAACGAGCGACGGCTAAAACCACCTGAAGGTTACTTGGGGTCATGCCCTTGACAACATATATAAAGGGCAAAATCATTGGAGCAGCCTCCCTTCATCGGTATATTTACCTATGTATCACGAAATAACCACGAAACCGTTTACGTTTCCTACAATAATCATTTTACGTAGATTATAACTTATGGTTGCGCTACTTACTACAGTGACAAAACGATTTAACTTACAATAATTTTATAAATATTAACAGTAAAAAACTGAAATCACAACACAATACTAATATAACATAAAGGCATAAAGGCAACAGAGTAGTCGCAAGGAAATTACTTTCACTTCTTTTATTTTTTCTGACTTCTGCGGCGTAAATCCTCGCACGACGTATATACCGGAGTTACCTTACTACTTTTCTCCGAAAATATTTTTATATTTATTTTTATGGCGTCCCTGGCGCTTTCTAGGGCTCTAGCCTGAAAAGTAGCAAAACTACTGAGAACATATTATAAATTCTCTATAGGTTTCAGGATTCACGCTGCGATGGATGGATGCGCATGCATCCATCTAGGATGCGCATTCTATCTAGGATCGCGCATTCAGATTGTAGCGAAGACAGAATCCCGGGGTCATGGATGCCAGGGTATGAAATGTCATGTGCTGCTACAGACTTTGAAGTTTTCCTACAGCCACGATCGCTGGTTCATCGATTATCTTCATCGCGGCCTCGATATTTAAGAACGGTTAGGAACAATTTTTCGATCGACGATACTCACCGGTATCTGTACAAATGTTCCGTTGTTCAGCTGAGGATATGAGTACAGGGGTACTACAGGCACGGAGTTGTTCTTCAGGAAGATTGGACCCTGGATAGGCGTGACATGCGCGTTCATCGGTATATCCTGATCCTCATCGTCGTAGTAGTCGTCGAAATCGTCGTCGTAGTCCAATACAGCGTGGACCGAAGTTTTAGTACCCGGATCGACGGAGCTACCGCCGTTGACTCTCGTATAACTTAGGTGAATTAAACAAAATATTAGGGTTACTTCGACCAACTCTGATTAACTTTAATCAACGATTAATTGCCCAGATAGTAAACAGACGTTATTTATCATCACTTTTGCTTCAAAATGTTACAAAAAATGCCATTTTGACATCAAATATCTGGACGATTGAGTCAATCATCCAAATTAATTTAATCGGAGTTGGTTGAAGTGATCTTTAATAGCAAAGTATATCTTTGATGTACATGCAAAGAATTATTTTATTTGTACAAGCATGTGATGGGAAGAATTGAAATGTATATACAAGCTGTTGTAAAATTCAATTGGAATATTTGCAAGGAAAGAAATTGCCGCAATCACAATATTCACAACTTGTCATCATCAATTTAAATAGAAGAAAGTGTAAACAATATTTTATTGTTTATTAAGGTTGCTTTATGAAAGGTAGACAGACGAAAAAGCAAAAAGAGAAAGAAATCTCCATTTACCCAATAGGTCTTTCCGGATAATTTTCCTGTTCCTCTATTTGAGTTTTGATGGATTCAGGCGAACGCTGATGCTGAAACGATGAAGGGAGCGAAGGCGGTCTCATCTGTTGCTGTTGTTGTTGTTGTTGTTGTTGCTGTTGCCTCGGTTGCGTCCTTTTGAAGTCTTGATTGTAAACAGTGTAGCGGGTATCCTGCGTTGACGAGAAGGATGTGTGTTCCGTATAAATCTCATGACTCCTCTGTTGCGCGGACTGACTACGTCGATGTTCATGATACTTGATTGGTGATGCGTAGGGCTCGTTACGAAAGCTTTCCCGTTCGCTGTAACCAGGCGCAGATCCCGACGGCAATACGGCGTTCAAACGGAGACTGTTGGCGGTCGTATGATCTCCGGCTGAGCCCGCGTAAAGGAACGGTGCCATCGTCACCGACTGATAGGGCAAACTGAAATTCACCAACGCCATTTCTCTTGCATTCGGAGAGATTCTCCCGGGCACACTTCGTAATCCGAATTCGTCCTTCGCTTGTGACGGTAAGTCTCTCTCGAGTGGCCTCGTGGTGACACCTCGGGCGACAGTTAACTCAATTCAGCGTAGGAACAGATACGTTTCCTCGTTGTGGAGATCATGATCAAATCATCGACGGCTTTGTAAGATAGCGTTAAGTCCCAAGGTTTCGAATATCACAAGGGAACCGAAATCGTGCGATGTAAGGACTCTCGTCGCGATCATATCGAACATTTCCGTTTCCTGGTTACGTCAATCGTACGTTCACCGTATTTAGATTATTTTACAGGGGCGGGTCCGATCTGTCTTCTTTTCATTGATACTGCCGATGCTGCCGCATGATTAATCAGAGAAAGGATCTGGATATGGATTGATCAAGATTACCATTTTTTCCTTTGCGTTTCTCGCGAGAGATACCTACAACGAAATTGGACTGAAAATCAAGGAAATTGTAATGTTGTACCATATTGGTGAAAGGAAGAGTCATGTGAATAAAGTATTATCTATTTTTAGCGATGGAATTTTATTATTAAGCCAATCTATCGAATTAATTTAGTAAAAATTGATAAAAATGATCCTAATTATCGGCTTTATCGTTAAAAAAAATAAATAAAATAGTATGTTGAAACTGTGTCTGTGCAGTTCTGATTCTCTACATATCTATCGTTTCGAAAAAAAATCCATGGCAATCGTTAACTCGGATCATGATCGCATATTCTTGAATACGCTACCTGCCTGTATGAAGGGAGAATAACGAACTCTTATTCGTTGAGTCATCCATCCATAGAAAGTGCCCCGCGTCCCGGATCAAGCGGCGAGATACACAAATGTTGATACGTAAAAGGCGATCGCGTATAAGGCGAAATTTGTCGTGGAACAGAAATTATGCGTGTTGTAAAATAAGTGAATTGTAAAAAGAACGCTTCTAATATGTCACTCTATGATAAATTATCAACCATGTAATTGATCGAAAACCATTTGGCAATCGCAAACGCGACGTAACTTACAAATCAAAATGACAAGGAACAAGAATCAAATCACAATCATATGCAAAGATCGGTCGCAGCTTCTACGTATTTTGTATCTTTTTTCTAAAAGTTCCTCTTTTTTTCGATATACATATATCCTGTCTTGTTAATAAAACATAAGAGCGTAATTAAAGAAGTTTGAACCGTATAATACAATACTATAGTTAAAAAAAGAAATAAAACTTTACGAAAAAATTGGTCGAAATTTTACGAAAAATTTTGGTCGTAAATTTGCTCTGAATCAACTGCAAAAAATAAGTAAACAAAACAACGAATAATTTAGCTTATAGTTTATCCAACGCAATGACCTGCATAACTGATAATTTTTTGCTGCAGTTTTTTTTTAGTAAATAACTTTTAAACGAGTAAATAGATCCAAATAAACTTTTGTACAAATATTTATTAGATTTTTTTATTAGTACTAACTAATATTTGCTACTAGTACTAACTAATTTTTGTATTAAATTTGATTTAATTTGTAATGGTATTTTCTCATTGCAAATAAGTACTATCTACAAAACGCGATTTTACATAAGAATCAATGCAAACAAAAAATCAAACAAATATTAAACTATTAAAAGGATTGTGTTCATACACAGAAAGTCAGATGTAATAATGGAATAAAATCTATAAAATTTACACACCCACTTTAGATAAGAATATGCAAAGTGGATATATGTATATATATATTTTTTGTGATGTGCTTTGAGATGTATATCCACTTTGACATAGTTTCCTTATCCTTCTATCCTCCTCGTTTCCTATCTAAAAAAAGGCATGTTAAATCGATACTCGCATCTCTTGAAATTTTCTCGACAATTTATTGTTGCATTGCGATACCGATTGATTCTCCCCCTGCGCTAACTTCGTGAGCGGCTGTCATTGCATATTTTGACAGTTGTGCGTCTAATGTCTAATAATTTATTGTATGCATTGTAAACGTGTCATAGTAAGAATTATTAGTAAAGAAAAACTAAATAACACGCGTGAAACGCGCGTCTGTGAAGTCCAATATATATATCTATTGCAATGCAGAAAACGAAGAAAAAAGAGAACTCGACGATTGTTACCAACGCGGCGCCGGACCGACGAAATTTATTTGGAAAGTCGAACGAGTTTGGGCCGCTCGTCACTTTCGCCCACTGGATTACTGTCTTTCCAGTCGAATATGCAAAGCGGTTTTCACTAAAGGTAAAAGCAGGATCATCCTACCTGGGTCAATCTCATCGTGAAGCACACTCTCTATTTTTTACGAAATATATACGTTTAAGATCGCGGCGTGATATGGAAGTGATCCTTAAAATTCTATAACGACTTCTTTCCTTCCGTAATGCATTTGTTAAGTTACGGAATTATAATATTAATATTTCAGACTGAATAAATTAATTGCACAGCAGAATGGAGGAAGAGAAAAGAAGAAAGAATGAAAGACAATATTAGCCACAACTAATTTGCAAAGTGACAATTCGCGTGATCGAGACGCACGATGTTCGATACATTCCATAGAACAGTGATGTTCAACCTATTTTAAACTGAGGATCATTTTCAGAAATAAACAAAATTGTGGATCGAAGAGTTAGAATTTTATTTCATCAATAAGGAAATAAAAAATCAAGATAATTTATAAACATCAAATATTTTAAACATATAATCTGCTTATAAAGTAAGCTACATTTTCGAATTGTTAATATTTTAAATAAATTGTTAAAAAAATTCTTAAAAAAATGCCTCTCAAATAAACTGTAAAACTGTGAATATTCATTACATTAGTGCAATTTTTGACACAGCTGCTCTCTCACAGTGAGGCTACTTGTGTGTAATATTTAAAAAATAAGTAAAACCAAAATTGATATTCGTTTAGATTATTTTCAAAATGAAGGTTTGCAAATTGCATAATGTTATTATTCTGGTAGTTTGCGTAAAAGAAAATCTGATTTTATATTTTCAGTTATAAGCCGGCGGATCATAAAAATTCGCAGGTAGGCGGATTGCGCATCACTGCCGTAGAATATCGAATCACTGCATTAATCTAAAAAAAAACCCGATTTAGCATGCCACGTGCTTCGGAACACGCGACATTTCTCATTCGCGCGTACGCAAGTACGGTCTCTTTATTCGGTGCGCAAGGACGACCGATTACGAAAGAAATTTTCCGCGAGATGCATATCACAGCGCCGGTCGTAGATACAATTATCTGACCTATGCAAATGGGCATGTAAGTAAACGTAAAGACATCGTAAACTGTGTGATTCTCCCCGTGTCTACGAACGGTAAATTAATCTTACCTTTGTATTAACTTTGCGATATTCACGTCACGCACGTACACCGTACACTCGCGCATCTCAGATTGCGATAAGTATGCGTAATTCGACGAGCACGTAGACAAGTCGATTCAGAATGTGTTAAAGATCCATCCGACCCGTTCCCACTTTCACTTCGCGCGTACGAGCGAAGAACAGATCTGGAGCGCGTCGTGATCGGAAAAATCGGCGTAACGGTTAAGAAAGACACACATACACGCGCGCGCGCTCGCGTGCGTGCACGCGGGGACGGGAAACGATCGTTGGCGCAGTGCGACGCGACGATGGTGCGATACCGTCGCGTTGGCGAACGGCGACTGAAGGTGGAGTAGTCTTTTAAAACCAGCTGAATACACACACACACACACACACACATACACACACATAGAAGAAACGGGAATAAAGCGAGAAGTGTCCCTCGATCTCGCGACTCGCATGAGTAGAAGAGTATCGGGCACGGTGGGTGCTGTTACTTTTACGCCATGTGTATCCCTTCCCGGGATTGTCCCCCGCAGAGTGCCCTCCCTACCTTCAATTTCACGACATCCAATTCCTGTTGTCGTTCATTGTGGGATTTTTTTCGTCGCGTTTCCCTTTCAACGACGACGAATGAGTTCTTCTTTCGTTTCGCTTCTGTTCTTTGTCCTCCCCGCCAATTCTAGATTATTTCTGGTAAAAAATTAATAAGTCCTAGAAGCGCTCAATAATGTCCTTCAGTTATTAAGAAACGAAATAAAACTAAATAACATTGGTTGAAGAAGCGAGAAGAATCGGTCGATTTTAACGGCCGCGCGATTTGCAATCATCCTTTCATTAATGCCAATGTCGTCGGAGGATCAACACCTGTTAACTCTAATACGTGTGATTTTCTTTTTTATATGTTTACACAGCAGTCGGTTAAAGTACCTCGTGGAAAAGAATCTTGTCAAATAATTTTGATTTCAGTTTTCTTTTTTTTTTTAGAAAGTATAAATTTGATTTGATCCGTAAATATATAAAGAAAGCTACATGAATGAAAGGCTGATTGAAGAAAGAAGTACGATATACTAAAATTGTGTAACAATTTTCCTATTACAATAATGACACGAGAAAGACAGAAATAGATAAAAAATTTTAATTAATTATTTACTTAAAATCTTGCTTCCTTTCACTGCAGAACTTTTAACGTTGGCCGAACATACATGCCCTATATATGATATTTGCAGCGAAAGAACTGATGAAAGAGGAATGCAAAGATTCAGGAAAAGAACAACGATAAAAAGAAGAAGAGATTCCGAAAAGGTTTCAATACAACACACAGTCAGATTGCTTCGTGAGAATTGAAATGAAAGGCGCAGCGAGGCAAAGTGCTGCAAGAGAGAACGTTTCAGACAGCACTACTGTCGGAGAAGAGACGAAAGGAAGAACACATTATTTTCTAACGTATATAAAATATATCCGTTAAAATTTAAATAGATACGGGCGTGCCCCTATTAGGAAGGGAGGGGGAACAAAAATTTATTTTCACACAAGATTTATTAAAATACTTATATTATATTAAAGCCAATCTTCGAGAATTTTCAGCAAACTTTATTGATACTTCTTCTTCTAGCTTCTTTTTTCGTCAAAAAATGATTTTTATATTTTAATTGTTTCTCCTTGCTAAAATTTAAGGGAGGGTTAGAGCCCTCTCTCTCTCGCCCCTTGCATATGCCCATGCAAATATGTATGATATAATATTCGATGCGGTCGATCGATTTTCCATGATCTTGTCCCGCTGAGTCTTTAAAGCAAACAGTGACTGTGACGCAAAGATGCGCGTCGCAGTCAACTGCACGTGGACGTAAGAATCGTAAGATCCGAATATAAATACGACACAAGAGTCATCACGCTTGCTCTTCCGGGGCAAATCCGCGATTCAATGTTTCTTGGTAAAGCGCGATTGCGCGAGCGTCACTCAGTGTAATAAATGCAAATGGGCGTAAAAAACCTTAAATGGAAAAATAATCGTTCTTTCCCGGGCTTACTTTTCTTTTTTTTTTTTTTTCCCCACTTGAGATGCGGAACCCCAGCGTCTGTCGGACTGGACTCCATGCCATTCCTCGAGCTCGATTTAATTTGAAATTGCGCAACTAACGTTTTTCTCTATTTGCCTTTAGAACGTGTGTGTGTGTGCGCGCGCGCGATTACGTAATGGTAATCTTGACATCATTAAAAGATTTGCGATTCCGTATTATTCATGTGGAACATCGCTATAATTGGCATTAATGCGTGTACGTGATATTAAATAGGAGAAATAATCTTAATGCAAAATATTTATTCTAAACGTTACACGAATTTGAAACGTAACAATAACAACTGGGATCTATTTGTATAATCGATTTGACATGAAATAGATTACTTTAAAGACTCGTAGAGACACGTGCAAGAATAAGAATGAATGCGAAGCTATAAATCGATTTAACGACACTTATATCAGTAAAGGTAAAGAAGAAAAGGACTGAAAGGGAATCGAATACCTGGCGCGCACAGACCCGTGCACGCTTATCCTCATTACAGAGTTCATTATTGTGTAACCAACAATGAACCGTATACAAACGCTAGGCAAGCGACACCTTTTCTTACCCTTGAGAGAAGGAAGCCTCCGTAGGAAATCGTGTATACTGTACACATATGATCTCCTTTCAGTTTACATGTGTAATGATGATAGATACACCGGATACACATCATCTGTTCATTATCCGTCAGATTTTAATCTTAATTGAAATTTTGCAGTGGAACGATCCAATGATGACTTTACGGTAAAACAATATGTTATTAATCTTAAATTAATTTCACGTGATCAATTTTTGGCATCGTCAATGCTAATGCAATTAATGTTTACACTTTGGATTCGCAATGAAAAGTGGATATTTTTCGAGTAATTTTCAATTTACTTCGTGGTCAGACGATTATAATGCTATAAAATAAAAAAGCCACGATTTTTTCAATTTCTAAAGCTCCATCTATCGCACATGGCCTCTGTTTAATTACATTCTATGTTTATTTTTATATAATAGGTCTTTTCTTTATTTTTCTATCATCATTATAATCATTTTACCACGAATAAATGAGAAATTCTTCCAAAAATTATTCTTCGAAGAATGATTATTCTTATAAAATTTTATAAGAATAGAAATAGAATAACTTTTATAACTTTTTTTGCGATCCTAGTCAAACTGAACGTAATATTTATATCTATAGTCCAATAATTCTCATTGAGTCAACGTTGGTATATGTTATAATAAACTATATTTTAAAATCTCCCCATAAAATCTTTCAAATAATAAAGATACATTTGATCCGCCGATTAGATTAAATACTGAGAACGGAACAATTGATTCTCGTTCACTCATGAAGAATAATAATTTGGAATGTAAAAACCTTAGAAAAATTTAATATTTCAAGTATTGTAAATTGGTTAGTGATATTAATTACTTATGTTTTGAATATTAAAAGCATTGTTAACAACTACTTTTAATTTATCATTAACCAATTTAAAACTTAAATTTTTCTTTACGTTTAAAATTATTCTTTATATTATAAGTGAGCGAGAATCGAATGTTTCGTCTTCAGTTTAATCTAATTAGCGGATCAAATTATTTATTTTGAGTATTAAAAGCACTAATAACAGTGCTTTTAATAAGCACTCAATAAGCAGTTAATCACTAACCAATTTTTAACACTTACAGTTAAATTTTGCTAAGGCCAATTAGAAATAAGTTAATATTAATCATATAGATATCATATATTGCATTCTTTGTTTTTACAAGGTCACGTGGCGGTAAATTCAACCGGAACCGAAACCGCATTATTAGAAGAAAAAATGGTCTGCACACGTGACGCACATGCTCGTACGGTCGCGGTTTCGCAACTCTGCACAGAGCGGGGTACTCTCGCGCAACAATTCTATGATTCACGCGTGATTGTGCACGTAACGGTCGCGATAAATTCGTTATTGCGCACGCGAGTGCAGTTTTGTATTTTTCCCCCGCGAATTTCATCGACAAGAGAGAATCGGGGACATCGTTTTATCCAACGTCATTTCGCAAAATAGAAAAAAAATATACGCATTGTTTCGCATCCCCATTGGAAAGTTCAAAGCAGAGAGAGGTAGAGAGAAACGAAATGTGTATGTGTCTGGAATTCGAAGGCGACACGGTGCCAACGCCCACATATTCTTAAAGTGTCGTTCCGGCTATTGATCATAATATACCAATGACACTTACGCAAGAATACTGTTCTCCCTTACGATTTCAATTTCAGACTGTCCCAAAGTATATATAAGTATAATCTTATCATATAGCTTCGTTCTTATTCGTCGTTTTTGCTTCATATCAGCGAAATCATCGTCATCTACGCCTATTATAATTTTTCTTGTTTGGAATTTGAGGGATCGAAATCTTTTTTGATCGCGCTTGCCGAAAAGTTCTCAATACTCTATTAACGTTTCTTTAATGTTTAGTTATCGCTTCCTTTACACTCCGTGTTTCAATTTTCGCCTCCTATGGATTTTGTTTACACTTCCGTTACTCCTGCTTTACACTTCCTTTACTCTCCAATTAAACGCTTTATTAACACTTGCTTTACGCTTTTATTTTTACCAGAGATGAGCTAGAGCTTTCAGTTCAAAATAAATTTATATTTACATATTTCAATTTTACAAACTACGCGCCAATTAAATTTTTGATCTTGAAATGCATTTTAGTTGATATTTTTCACAATAAATTTTTCAAAGTATTTTAAGATGCTTATAACATAAATATCTTATTAAATTACTTATATCAATTTAATTTGTGATATTGATTGATTTATGGCATTCTTAAGATGTCATAAACCAAGCACAGAGTTATATTAATATTTTAAAATAGTCTTAAAATAAAAGTAAATTATGTAAATACTAACTAAAGACTAAAGATTAAATGTTTAAGATTTTTTGTCATAAATACAAAAAGTAACGATACATAATTCGTTAGGGCCGGGAGCACAGAAATGCATAATGCCGCATAAGCATGCATAGCATAAGACGGCTAGACCAATGAGAATCTTATGTAAATCAGTATGGCGATTTTATGCTGGCTGCTCATTGGTCTAGCCGCCTCATGCTATGCTTATGCTTCGTTATGCATTTCATGTACTCCAGGCCTTAAAGCGGGAGCACAGACTTTTGCATAACGCTGTATAACGTATAAGACATAAGGCATAAGAGAATCAATCAATCAGAGTACAAAATGAAGGACTCTGATTGGTTGATTTACTTATGCATTATCTTGTCTTGTGCGTTATGTAGCGTTATGCAAAAGTCTGTGCTCCCGGCTTTATCAAAAAAATGTAACTACGTTACCGTTACAATTACTAAAAAAATAGAATAACGCTGTTACCAATCCGTTACAAAACAAAAAATATTTATAATGGTAACGGCATTACAAGTAACGAGTTAC